GAAAAATAATTATTTTATTTTATTATAATGTCTAAGCCACGCAGGAAAACATTGAAATTGATCAATAACGGTGAGTGTTGACCGAGACTGAGTGATTGATGTGAAGCTATCTGCAATAAATGTGACACGTTGAGTCTCTTAAAACATCTGCGCCGTTCTCTCGCCGCCGTGCTGCAGGAACAATGTTCCTGCAGTTTTGTTGCTTTTGTTTAGATCACGTTGTTTCACGTGACACCCGTAGTGAGTCCAACTGGGTCACAGACGCAGTGGGAGCAACGCTGTTCACCAACTCAACTCAACACGAGCTGCACTTGGGGCTGTTGAACGCCCATCTACCCCACGCTACGCAGAGGTCGCAACCGGGTACCCGATACCCGTACTCTACCCGATACCCGTACCCTACCTGATACCCTACCTGATACCCGTACCCTACCTGATACCCTACCCGATACCCGTACCCTACCCGATACCCGTACTCTACCCGATACTCGTACCCTACCCGATACCATACCCGATACCCGTACCCTACCCGATACCCGTACTCTACCCGATACCCGATGCCCGTACCCTACCCGATACCCGTACCCTACCCGATACCCGTACCCTACCCGATAGCCAGCTACCCGTACCCGACCGGGTAAGGGTAGCCGGGTACCCGTTTGCGACCCTGGTGCGGCCGGGTACGGGTAGGCCGTGAGTCACTGGTGAGTCACCGTTTGTCACTCATTTCGTGTGACGATGTGTGACGAGGGGGGGGGGGTCAGACATGTGTGACGATGTGTGACGAAGGGGGGGGGGGGGTCAGACATTTGTGACGATGTGTGACGAGGGGGGGGGGTCAGACATGTGTGACGATGTGTGACGAGGGGGGGGGGGGAGGAATGTGACGTCACATCAAAATGCGCGACTTCAAATAAATACGGACGACACGTTCTACTTAACTAAACAGACTTTTTATTAAATGTTTTCTCCTACAACATCAGAGTGCAGCGCCACACTGAATACGCACCACAATGACAATCGTTTAAAGCGATTTGAAGCATGTTTTGTTTAGGGGGGGCGGACTTTTTGTGACGCCGTGTGACAAAGTGGGGGGGGAGTGGGGGTCAAAAATCTTCCAAAATCTCGTGACGTCATTTATGGCGTCTCATCGCAGGCGAACATCGCGAACACTTTGGGTTCAACGACGGAGCTGGAGTCACCGAGAGGTGAGGTCACAATCCGCTTCGACTGTTTCTCTTGCTGTACATCTCACAGCCAATCAAGTGGAATGTCCAATGCAACCAACCAGGGGAAGGTGACACATCTGATGGTTGTTGTGGAGTCACTGGCCGACACCATCAACGCAGCAAACTAGAGAACCCGTTTCCTCCTCCACCCACCCACGCGTTAGTGCCTCAACCCCGCAACGCACGAGCCACTAGCGGCAAAGTCGACCCTCTGTGAACAACACAACGAGGTGAGTGTGACTGAGCACCTCACAACGCGTCACTAGCGGCAAAGTCGACCCTCTGAACAACACAACAAGGTGAGTGAGACCGAGCACCTCACAACGCGTCACTAGCGGCAAAGTCGACCCTCTGTGAACAACACAACAAGGTGAGTGAGACCGAGCACCTCACAACGCGTCACTAGCGGCAAAGTCGACCCTCTGTCAACAACACAACAAGGTGAGTGAGACCGTGCACCTCACAACGCGCCACTAGCGACAAAGTCGACCCTCTGTCACAACACAACAAGGTGAGTGAGACTGTGCACCTCACAACGCGTCACTAGCGACAAAGTCGACCCTCTGTGAACAACACAACAAGGTGAGTGAGACCGTGCACCTCACAACGCGTCACTAGCGACAAAGTCGACCCTCTGTGAACAACACAACAAGGTGAGTGAGACCGAGCACCTCACAACGCGTCACTAGCGACAAAGTCGACCCTCTGTGAACAACACAACGAGGTGAGTGTGAGCCTGTGCACCTCACAACGCGCCACTAGTGACAAAGTCGACCCTCTGTGAACAACACAACAAGGTGAGTGAGACCGTGCACCTCACAACGCGTCACTAGCGGCAAAGTCGACCCTCTGTGAACAACACAACAAGGTGAGTGAGACCGTGCACCTCACAACGCGTCACTAGCGGCAAAGTCGACCCTCTGTGAACAACACAACGAGGTGAGTGTGAGACTGTGCACCTCACAACGCGCCACTAGTGACAAAGTCGACCCTCTGTGAACAACACAACAAGGTGAGTGAGACCGTGCACCTCACAACGCGTCACTAGCGGCAAAGTCGACCCTCTGTGAACAACACAACGAGGTGAGTGTGAGACCGTGCACCTCACAACGCGTCACTAGCGACAAAGCAGAAGACGGTGAGGGGAGCGCGAGAGCCGCCCGGCTAGCGGAGTGCAGCGTCGTGGGAGCGAGTCCGTGTAGCTGGCCCCGAGCCCCGAGCCCCACCCCCCCTAGGGCCCCCCGAGGGGGTGGCGCTGGCTGCTGCCGGCG